GTTGATACTGCGCCAGGAAGACTTTGAAGAAGGCGACTTCCGCAGGGCGGCACTTGTGGATGTGGAGCACCATGGAAGTCAATGGACTACACCAGTGGCTACAGACCGCTTTGTGATAAAGCTGCCTGATGTGATCCATCGTGCCAACTTCCTGGCTCCCAATAGATTGAATTAGTCCAAAAATAAACTATAGTTTATTTCGTTGGTTTGAGGTTATTTCCTAAGGAAATAGTCTATTTTGTTTCTTCCAAAAATATATTGTTTAAATAAGAGAAAATAGATTATTAAATTTGCCGAAATAGTTAATTTTTCTCTAATTTGATTTGCCGAAATAGTTAATTTTTTCTCTTCAATTTGTGTCCAAAAATAAACGAAAAATAGTTTATTTTTTTTAACCTAATTCCTAAGGAAATAGACTATTTTTAAAACTATTTTTGTTTTTTCCGGAAGCAAACTACGACCCAAGTACGACCCCTGCACTGCCAAAGTACGACCCTTGTTTTTCTTGTATCATAGATTTGCTGTTGCGCATAAATAGATATATAACAAAAACAAGAGCAGAAATGCGCAGCTTTGATTTCAGAATTTGTTTCCTACAACTATGAGCAAGGCATATTTTTTTCTTGGGAATTCAAATTTTGGATGTGATCCCTTGTTTCTCTCGCAGGGCCTCTTATGGTGGCTCCACGCTCTTGACGCACTTTCACAGGTGAGCCTCTCAAGGTTCTCCCTCTCTCTCTCTCTCTCTCTCAAGGTCACTCTCCCAAGCCTCTCTTCCCCACGGCTATTTGTCCCAAAGTCCTCTCCCAAGGCTCTCTCTCTCTCTCAAGGTCCTCTTTCTCCCAAAAAGCTCTCTCTCCCAAGGTTCTCTCCCCCAAGGTTCTCTCTCCCAAATTTTTCGTTCTCAAGGCTCTCTCTCTCTCTCTCTGTGTTTTTTCTATTATGGTTCTCTATCTCAAGATCCTCTCTCTCTCAAAAGGCTGTCTTTGTCAAGATTCTTTCTCAGTGTTCCCTCTTTCTCTCTCTTTCCTGCTCTCTCTCTCTCTCTCACTCTCTCTCTCACTCTCTCTCTCTCTCTCTCTTTCCTGCTCTCTCTCTCTCTCTCTCTCTCCCTCTCTCCCTCTCGCTACTATCTCTCAGGGTCTTCTCTCTCAAGTCCTCTCTCTCAAGTTTCCTGTCTCTCTCTCTCTCCAGGGGTCTTCTCTCTCAAGGTCCTTCTCTCAAGTTCCTGCTCTCTCTCTCCTCTCTCTCTCAGGGTCTTCTCTCTCAAGGTTCTCTCTTCTCAAGTTTCCTTTCTCTCTCTCTCTCTCTCCCTCCCTCCCTCCCTCCCTCCCTCTCTCTCTCAAGGTTTTCTGCCTCAAGGTTTTTCTCTCCATCTCAAAATCTCTCAACAAGTTACTCAAAGTCTCCCAAAATCCCTCCAAGTCTCTCAAGGGTCAAGAATAAGAAGGACTATGGTTAAGAGAAGGAAATAACAACAACTGCATGCATAAAAAGTTTCACATGGTTCCTTTTCATCTTACAATCTTGTTGCACATACCCATCTCAGTTCATGGTTTTGCACGACAAGGAGCAGCACAGAACAAACTCATTTTTTCCGTCGAATCCTTCGAGTTTGAACTTTCTTTGTGTTCAAGCTGCCACCAAACTGACAACCATTGGACGCATGGCGGTGCAAAAACACCCGAAACCATTTGCAAACTCACATCGGTTTTGAAATCAATAGGAACCCTTTCCAAGTTCAGTGTGCTAACTCGAGGAAGTGCAGGTGAAGAGCCAACCTGTAGTGACGGGCAAGTTTCAGAGTTTGTTGATCAACTTTGTTTCCACGAACACAGGCTTTAGCGATTTGCTGCATTCGTTGCATCTGGTCCTCGCCCATAAAGCACCAAGTGACTTTGGGATTCACGCATCGGCTCAAAATGGCCAATTCTTGAAGCGTATGGCTTTTGGATGTGATATCAAAAACCTTCAGGCCTTCTTCAACAAAATGGTCAGCAACCTGACTCAAAAGTAATAGCATTCCATTTGCGGTTTCCTCAAATTCTTGGGCAGGACCAGGGGGAAACGCGAAGTCTTCCTTGTGATTGGTAATCATGTCTTCCAGGTGAACATTGTGCTTTAGCATCAAGGCTATACGCTTGTGAAGCAAAAGTGCTGGATTGCAAAATCGGTTCCACAAGGCCAGTAGAGCCTTTCCAAAATGGCGTATCTCTGATGCCTTCCCGCGAAGTTTCGGGAATTTGCCACTCCTGATAAACATACTAAGTTTTGTCATATAGCGAAAGGGAGTTGGTGTCCTATTGGTTTTGAAAAAGTTCTTCAAGAAGGCCCAACACGTTGCCAGATTTGCTTCATCTTCTCCAGGCATTACCATGCACACCAACACAAATAGGACGCTGCCGAAAATATATTGGTCGACTCCCAGGTATTTGACATGAACCCAGTCATAGGCTATTGTCCAACAAGAAGCACCAGGGAGTGTCAGTAATACACATTTGGTACGTTGTTCCCAACTTCTCCAGTCTTCAGGGTCCCAACGTGTGTTACGCCATGTAGCTTCTGATCTAAAATCAGACCATGTCATTGGGCCTGTCATTGTGCACTTGCAATGCATGCATGGACCACTCGCCAAGGCATAGTTCGGAGTTCCCAACATGGCACAAAAGTAATCTAAGTCACCTGTCAATGCCCATAACACGGCTTTCCATCCACCAGCTAGCCATGTGTTGGCTCTCAGGCCCTCCTTTGAATTTGCCGCATACCTTTGGGGTCATGTGATTTCAATAGCAAGCATCTAGGAAAAGTGATCCAATCGTGAATGAAATTACCCATGTCAAGTATTGAAAATTGAATCTCAAAACTTTCAACTGTAAACCATGAGAGACTTTGAGAGGAGTGACACTATTGGTGAAACTTTGAGAGGGGTTGCATTAGCTTTTTGGGAAGATAATCAGATAATCCGGGAAAAAAAACCACAAAGAAATTGCTGTCAATGAGCCAAGTTGCTTCACACCTTTGTGGTCGTGAGATGGCCATTTCCCGGAAGCTAATGCCAGAAAGCTCCATTTTAGGAGGCTGTAGAATTCATGCAAAGTTCCTTCGGTTTGGTCACCAACTTTCAGCTTGTCAAAGAATCCCCAAATCCACATGAGCATTGAAGCGGTATTTCCATGACCCAAAAGGGAATACCATGAATAGTTGGTCATCACACGTGACCACACCTTCCCAATGCCGGTTATCGGCACGCCGTCCCCGTGCACAGCAATGGGGATTGTTTTAGTGTCCCAATGGTCATCAGCAGTCATAGGATGGCCTGACATAGATGGGTGTAGCCGCATGCTTCGCCAGAACTTTTTAACACGGTCGACGCTTGGTACAAGTGCAGTGTTCCAAATATTTTGATAACTGGTGTAGATGCAAGCAAACATCTCATGAGGTAGCAAAACATATTGCATAGAATTTGGGTAGCCTTTCAATGGTATTTTTGCACTGAAAGGTCGTGGGATCTTCGGCACATGCTCCACTTTGCTCATCAACTCGGTGTGGACATTGTTTGAATGTCTACCCTTGGTCCCCAAATTGGCCAAAGTTTCCAAATTCTTCAATATGGAAGGATCCTCTGCTGAAGCTTTGATGTCTTTCACAGCCATCTCAGCTATCTGTTGCACTCTTTGGGGTGAAAAAAAACCCATGCAAACAAGTTCAGAAGCAGCAAGGCTAAGGCAGAGGTGACATCCTGTGCATTTTCTGTAACTTGATTGGACCTCTTCAATCTCTGCTGTAGGCCACCTCGTGGTCTCTTCTTCGGCCGTGGGGACTCCATATATAGCAATGGATGGGTGAAACACTCAAGTCTACACAGTTTTGCAAGTTCAAGTGTACATCTTCAAATCCAAGTGGAAGTCGTGCAATTCTGATATGCAACCAAAATGTTGATTATTTTTCATTTGTTTCAGAGAAAGCATAGATTTCACTATATACAGATCTTTCTTCATCAAAACAATAAGTCTATATATAGAAACATGACCATTTTAGAGGGTTGAAGGTTGACGGTTGCAAAACATAAGATCTTTGCTTGGGTTGAAACACTGCACATGGATGCACATAGAGCTGCCCAAAACACACCAGAACAATAGCTCTGATTCAAAATGAAGATGAATATTAAGTCAAACAGCAGGTTTTTTGGATTTGACGCACCAATTCAATGTTTCATTGCTGCCTGAAGACGTTCTTGTTCAGTCTGATTGCTGCAATGCCCGCAATATACCAAGTGCCAAGTATGGGGATTTACCATGTGTGTTCATGATGTTTGGCTGAACCTGAACATAGAGCTCACTGTTGTGAAGTTTCAAAAGGGCACTCACAGCTCAGGGCTTGTAGTTCAACATGTTCCTGCTTGTATACCCCCTCATCGGCTACAATCAGCTCCGGGCTTACCCTCCCCCAACTCTCAAAGTCTCTCACAGGTCTCTCAAGGCCCCTCCAAGTCTCTCAAAGTCACTCAAGGTCTCTCAGTTTGATTTGGGATTTGTAGGGGTCACCTTTTTATTTGTTTTTGGGGCCCTTTTTGGTGGCAAAAACAGCGAGCCCTTTTGAACCCCTTCTGCAATGCCAAACCAACAGGATTATTACCACCCAATAGTCAAAAAAAGGATGAGCTATAGTTGTAGGAGAACAAAAACGACAACTGCATGTATGAAGTCTCAGTGTCCATTTTCATCCCACAGACTTTTTGCACAATCATTGTTGATTCTTTCTTATACATACCCATCAACTCATGGCTTCATAAGCACAGAACAAGCTGATGTTTTTTTTCCGTCGAATCCTTCGAGTTTGAACTTTCTTCGCGTTTTGGTTGTCTCGCTGACAACCATGCCTCACACCCGTCTATGTTTGGAGAACAGAAGCTCATGCGCTTACATGGAAATGGCCTAAGAGCTCAAAACTTTCCCAAAACCGTGGGGTGGGCATCATTGAATTGCAAATACTCCTACAATTTAGGACTTTGCCTTGGCCCTTGCTTTGGCTGCCTGAATTTCGCCATGGTACTGATCCACATCCCGGGCGATGGTGCCAATGAAGTTCTCCAAGCTCTGCGCGTTGATCGTGGCTTTGTCAGGCAACTCACTGAACATCAAGAGGTTGTTCAAATTGTTGATGTGGTTGGACAAGGTCTTGTAGCCATCTTTGATCAAATTCTGGGTCTCGGCATGGCCCACCAACTTTGATCCATCCTTGAGTAAGCGTTCACATGCATCCTTGGCCTTCGCGGCAAGCTTCTTTGTTTTTTCGGGGATCTCATTTCCGTTCTCCAACTGTTTTTCATCGGCCTCCAAGTCTCATCGGCTGTCACTACAGAATGAGAGAGGTAAAAATGGGTAAAATGATACAATGCTGGACATTGCAAACTTTCAGTTGAGAAACTCATTGAGAACCTCTATTCAAGAGAGGGTTGAGACAGGCGACATGGTACTTCATGGATGTTGAACCTTTTTCTGTGAGAGAATTGAAAGGTCATACATATGTGTAGACTTCAGGTCAAACCTTTATCCGTGAGAGACTGTATAAGAAGGTTCTGTGCTAGCACAGTATCGAAATAATAGATATCATCATGTTAGAAGCTTTCAAACCTGTACCTGTGAGAGAGCTGCTCACCAAACCTTGAGAGAAGTGTTGAGAGAGTGAATTTGAAAGAAAATTTGAGAGAACTGAAGAGAGCCTCTTGTTGGTCTTGTTCACTGACGTCCCATTAGATGAAATGTCTAGCCAAAACTGACATTTATCTGAACGATAATGACAAGATGGCATCCATTTTGGTACCACTAAAAATACCGATATCAGGTATCCATTTCAAACACACTCTATGGATGAAGGCAATATTGCAGTATAGCAAGGTGATGACGATATGTGTTTAGTTTCACTTTGTTCGAAACCTTTCCAAATGCCTTTTGTTTTGCTTCCGTTTCGGTACCGTTAGGTTCAGACAGTTTTGGGAAAGAAGTTGGCTTTTGAAGCAACTGGACAATGAGAGAAATGACCAGTTGAACTCTGAACTTAATAGCTTCACAGCTCCAGCCTTGCTCAGTTCGAACTTCCACTTGAGCTTGCTCATGACAGCGGCCAAGGAGTGAGCTTGGTCTCTGGACAGCTTCTTGTTCCCAATCACGCGTTCGCCTTCCTCATTGCCACGCACCTCGGCATTGGAGAACTTTCTGAACTGGAGGTACTCAAGCTTCGCCTCCTTGTCATACTTAGCCACCAACTCACCATTGTCAATGGCTTTCTTCATGAGCTGCTCATCTCCATGGAAATGAGATGCAAGCATGAGAGTACGGGGCAATGACTCTGTTTTGTCTTTCGCGAGACTCTGATGGAAAATTTTCCGGTACTCCTGAAACTCGTGCTGATCAGTTTGGAGCCTGAAAGTTCCATCTGACTGTTTGGAAAACAAGGAATTGATTAGCTTGGTTTGGTAGGCTCGGACACCCTCCTTGCTTTTCTTGCTCTCGATATTGAACATGTGGACGATATGGTCTGGTAGCGACCCCTGGCTCAACATCTTGTGGAATTTCTGGGCTTTCTGCTTGTCTCGGTTGGTGGAATCACCATCATTGGCATCATCATCATGATCGTGGGACTGCTTCAGCTCAGAAACCACGTCTTTGATGGAGCCACCAGCAGCAGGCCTCTTCTTTGGTTGAAGGTCAGCCGCTGAAGAAGGTCTCTTCAAAACAGGCATTGCTAAGGAACAGAAATTCTAGTTCCAAGGCCAAGCGTATAATGCTGAAAATCTGAAGGGACAAGTACATTGAGAACATGAACATCCAGCACACTTGGAAAGTTAGCTGTAAACTTGTCATGCAAAGCCTCCACATTCTTGACATTCTTCCTCAAATTCTTCAAACCCAACTGAGAATCCAACTAAAAATTGAAGAGTTTTGGCATTGTTTCAACTTGATTTTTTTGAATCATTTGGATCGGGGGTCATAGTTTGATAGAAACTACGTCGTAGTTTCTACTCATACTTTGGTCGTACTTTGATAGTAGTTTGATAGTAGTTTTTCAAAACACATGGTATTTACAGTGTTTCCATAACATAAAGTATGACCCCCCTAGAAAGTATGACCAAACTACGATTCGAAAGTACGACGTACTTTCTACCAAACTACGACCCCATGCTCACAGAATAGCTGTCTCTCCTCTCAAAATCTCTCACAGGTTTTCACTTAACCTCGGAGTATTTGTTCACACCATGTTTGAATTTTGATTGAACAGTGCATCCTTTTCAGTGTGAAACTCATGAATTTCAGCTGAAGAATAGACTTGGTTTTCTCTCTTCCCGTTGAGATCTAAGCTGCGCAAAGTTGGATCCACATGCCCCTTGACTGTCTATGGAGCTCTAGGCTAACCAACTGTACTCTGAAAAACTGATAACAAAAGTGCTTCAGTACATTGAAGACTTATCCTTCAGCAACTACTGCACCTCAGTTGCCATTCTTCTTGTTGATCTTGCGCTTGCGCTCATTGCGGCGTGCACGTCGTGCTGCGCGGCTGCCTGGGTTCTGAGGTGGTGCCAAAGAGGATGACGAAGCTGGTCCATTGTCAAGCATCTGCTCGACAACACGCATCAGCTGCAAGGAGTAGCCGCTGACATGGCCATGCTGCTTCACGTTGCCGCTATCATCCATGGTGAGAAAACCGGTAAGTTCCTCATCAGAATCATGTCCTTCACTTTCACCTTCTTCCTCAGGACCTGGTGGGGAACCTTTTGGAGAATCTGCTGGCTCAGAGCCAATTGGCTGAGAGTCCGTTGGCTCAGATTCAGCCGGCACTCCAGTGTCATGCTGAGTCTCACGCAGCTCATCCTTGAAGCTCTCACCCTGGACAGACGTATCAGCATTCTCAGCAAGACGAAGCCACCACAATCCATCAGGCTTTGACATGGTGTCATGAGCTTCAGGGGGCTGTTGTGAATCATCTTCAAACAACCCAGGGGGAGTCCCAAAAGAGATTGCCTGAGAATCAGCTGGCACCAAGTTGTCAGCAGCGTCCTCAATAGCTGGTGGGCTCTCACCCATGATGATGGTTTCAGCATCCACATCAGGTCCAATCACCTTGGTTGCTTCACCTTGGGTCTTTGCCTGGGAGTCAGCCGAAGGAGAAATGGCCTTGTCAGACATATTCGATCCACAGGAGCTTGAAAGCGGTTTCAATCCTTTGAGCACTCAGTAGGCTTCAAACATGCAAACAACATTCCACATGATTGATGACATCAAGAATTTTCAAGCTCTCAAACGGTGGACAAAGTTTTTGTTCAAGTATACTCTCAACCTCCAAGCCTTTCAACTATCAGTATCAACCTACGAACCATTCAACTATCAACCATGAAAGACTTTGAGAGGAGCGACGTTGAGAGAAACTCTGAGAGAAGTGACATGGTTTGAAGCTTTGAGCAAATCTTGAGTGCCAAAAAACATTTTAAAGTTCCTCAACCGAAACACCTTGGGTTGGACCACTTTTAAAGAGAAACCCATGTCAATCCATGTGCGGTTGAGAGGTTGGTTCTTAGTTCAAACTCTCTCCTCTCTCACGGTCACTCAAGGTTAAACATGCACAAAGTGTGAAATTGCCACTCTCGACGCTCACGGTCCCTCAAGGTTCAACATGTACCCTTTTGCTTTTGTTGTGTGTTTCTACTGTGAGCCAAAATTCAAACAGACATTCAGCTCATGTTCACAGATGTCATGAATTGATTCATGAGCTGATTCATTGAATTTCACGTATGTTTCAAGAACTGTTTGTTTGTGTGATATGTTTGGCTGACAGGTCTCCACAAATTGCACCCACAGTTGACATGTTCCATAAAAACATATACTGAATTCCCTCCACTTGCCATGTTTGGTTGTAACTTTTCTTCAATGCAAGTAGCTACTGATGACATGTTGAACCTCCCAACCCCCAATAACGCCGCACTTTGTTCGAGTTTTCTCGCACACATCCTGTCAAAAGCGCAAGTCGGCTTTTCGATTCCAGGGTTGTTCCAATTCCTGTAGCTTTGCTACCTGTCAGCTTTGCTCTTCTTCTCTTTGGACTCTTTGGCATTCCGGTTCGATCTGCTTCTCGTTCTGCTTCTCTTTGAAGCTTTGCTGTCATCCTTCTTCGCCTTCTTTTGCTTGTCCTTCTCCTTGTCGGTGCGCTTGGAACGGCTCTTCTCGGTATTCTTCTCCTTCTTTTTTGCCTTCTCTTCCTTTGGGGAATCTTCAGGCTCCACTTTGACGTAGCCATCCCATTCGAATTGGTTCTGGAAGAAGGCTTGCAACTCCTCATCCCCTTTCTCCCATTCCTCCCCTTCCCCTTCATCATCTTCTGCTGGAACATCATCGGGTGGTGTCCTTCTCCAGGGTGGCTCTTCTCTCATTGCCTTTGCTGCTGCTTTGCTTCTGCATTCTCCACTCCAGACTTGGCCATCCTGGGGCAACCATACTGGTGGGCTCCAAGGTCGCGGGGCCATGAACCCCATTGGTGGCGGTGGATAGCCAGGTGGAAGGAAATGGTAGCCAGGTGCAGCAAAAGGCAAAGCTGGTGGGATATGCTGCATGGGATGCATACCCGGTGGAGGGACTGCAGGCATGGGGGGCTGATGCATGGGAGGCGGCATCTGCAGGAAAGGCGGCATCTGCATAGGGGGAGGCATCTGCATGGGAGGCGTCACAGGAATCTTGGGCGTTGTGTGGTGTGGAGGCTGTGGTGGAAATTTTGGCGGTGTTGTCGGTCGTCGTACCTCATCAGGTTCTTTGGTCGCCTCATACTGGGACTCGGAGGGCTCCTGCTCCACACCGTCCATGTTGTCCTCATTGTGGTGGTCCGGCTCCTGCCTAGCATAGTATCTGCCAGACTTGCGAGGAACAGCGAAATCCGCCTCAATGGGGAATTTCGCTAATCCATTGAGGTAAGAGCCCTGAAGGATTTCAATCACTACTCGGCACTGTTCTTCTGTGCAGTAGCTCAGGAATCCGTTGATGCTCTTGTTTGGGTCATACCTGCCACGCTTCACCAGGTAGACGTTGTACAGACCCTCAGTGGCGCCTAGATAGTTCATCTGTTCCACCAAATCATGTTCTGACACTGACATGTAGAGGTGCTTGACAAAGACTCTATGCGGCGGTTCATCCACTCTGTGAGGCTGTTCATCCCCCATGGTTTTTCTAAGCGGCAGGGATTGCGTTGGAGAATCTATACAGTAATATAATATAAAGTGGCTAAAGTGTTTTGACATGTTTTGACAATGTCAGGGAGCAGTCTTGGAGTTCATGGATATGTAGACTGATCATGAGGGCCTAAACTGGATATGTAGACTGATCATGAGGGCTTAAACTATCTTAAACTCACATGGTGTGAATTCACAATGCTGGTATTCTTTGTGAAACAATATTTGTGTCATGTTTTTCCCCATGAACAGCTCATGTTGACTTGAGAGGCAAATATGGAGCATAGATACAAGCTTCTCATGGACAACTTAAGCAGCTGGCAGTGCGGCTTTCCTGAAAGCTGGTGAAAACAACCTTTCAAATTCAAAACGCTCACATGACTATACACCTTCATTTCCATTTGATTTCAAAAATACCAAATACCTATTCAATTTGAATCACTGTTTTTGATTCACTTCATTTCCTGAACTTCTCCCAAGTTGAATTACAGCGCCTTCGTTTTTTTGCTTTGGCCACACGTCGGTTCGGGTCTTCAAGCCGGCTCAGCCCCTCTCTCTCTCTCTCAAGGTTTGTGTTGACAAGCATTCACCCCACTCTCATGGTTTTTCATGGTTTTAAAGGTGGACATGACTCTCAAGGTTTCAACATTCAAAAGCTTTCTCATGGTTTTGACAAGCATTCACCCCTCTCTCAAGGTTTCTCTCATAGTTCAAGTCAGAGCTCACAGCGTAGGAAAGGTTGGACATGTTCAATTGTATCTGCAAGGTTTCAGCTGGGCATGCAAGGATTTTCCAATAGCAAGTTGAGTGTGACACGGTAGCGCACAGCTGTTGATACGTTCGTTCCAGGTTGAACGGTTCCCATCGAAAAAAAGAAGTGCTGCACACAAACTTGAAACAGAAATTGCGAAAATCAAAACAGGATAGCTCAACCTTCCGTCAAAATCTGCACAACTGAGGTCACACGTTCTAGATGCTATAGCTTAAGCCCCCTCAGTCAACATCCTCAGGCTCCTTCTTCTCGTCATTCATCGCCACCTCTTCAGGGATGTCGGTCTCCTTGATCTTGTTGCTTTCCAACTCTTCCTCTGCGGTCTTCTTTGTCTTCTTCTTGTCTTTGATGCTCTTCTTCTTGGGGGCGGTAGCTTTGGGTTTTGCTTTGCTCTTTGCCTTTGCTTTGGACTTTGCACTGGGGCAAAGTTTGTCAAATTCAGCCCCTGCCAGTCTACCAGCAACCCTTCCCACTGCCTGTGCATCCTCTTTGCTCATGCCCTGCTTCATCAACAGTACCTCACTGCGGTGGTATGCATTGCTTGTTGTTCTCTGTCGTCTTACCTCACGTGTTACTTCTGCTGGGTCAAGGTCTTTGGTGAGATTCACTGCTGCCTCAACAATTCCTTCAGGGATACGTTCCTTGAGTTTCTCCTCATCTTCTTCATCAGCCAAGCCCAAGGTCGAAGGGGCTGCACTGGGTCGTTTCATAGGTGCTGGGGTATGTTCTTGATCTTCGTCTTTTTTCATCTTCTCTGTGT